GAGACCAAAGCTGAAAAAAAGACGAATTTCCTATTTCATATTTCCTATTTCCTATTTCCTAATTCCTATTCCGGTGAAGACAAAAAATATAGGGATAGAGAAAGTCATAAGACAACAAAACTGAACATTGATGGGTTAATACAAGGTTAGGGGTTATGAATAAATAATTAATATTTAATGTTAGTGCAATCAGCACAACAGCACAATAAGCCAGCAGGAGTAGTAAAGGTTAGAGTTACAAAAAAGGAATGGCAGCTGGTAAAATATAGAGTAGCGGGCAGCAACACACGACGAAGTCCGGTGTTGCAACACACGACGTAGTCGCCGCGTGTTGTCGCCCAGCGGCTTAAGACTTAATAATAATGAAGGTGCAATACGAATGGGAATGGATGGAAGTCGTACCGGCGGCAGGGGCAACACACGATTTAGTCGGGTGTTGTCGCCAGCGCTAGCTTAAAGACCAATGGGGCATGGGGTGCAATCGAGGGGGTCGAAAACATGCATCCTCCTCTTCATCTGTGCTTTCTGCCGACGAGGTTGATCGCCAGCACTCCCGCTGACTTAATTTGACATCGAGGCTTCAAGGGGACTTGACGATAAGGCCTCATAAGGAGGGGACGAGCTTTAGAGGGGCTCCCACTTGCTCATTACCACGGAAGATAGGGCTAGAGGTAAAGGTACTTTTGAGAATGGACTAGGTGTCTTACGCTAGCGTTAGAAGTTGATAGACAAGTTACTAGCTAGCTAGAGACTATGCATACATGGTACTTTCTTCTTTCTTATCTTTCTTTTTGCATTCTCTAGCTTAGCTATTTTTTAAACCTTTGCTGCATGAAGTTTTCATTTGTTGTTCATGGTGTACTACTAGCTACCTAATGACAGGTTATGTTGCCCTAATACAATGCTTTCTTTGATAATACTACCAGGTACACACTTCTACTGATACACTGTGCTTTCTTTGTTTGTACGGTGCCCCATTAAGAGAGCAGAGCAATTCTCTCCTCGTCTGGACCGTGCCCAGAAGATTTGAGCATTTGGTACCCTTGCTTTTGACTTTTTAAAGCTGGAGCAGCCGATACACTGCTTGATGTACATGTAGAATCATAGGAGCAATTTGTGGGCAATCAGAGAGAGCAAGCAATTTTTGCCCCGAGTGCCATACAGTCTAGGCCTCCTGAGCGTTCATCCTTGAGACCATGCAAGCTCTCATTTGCTCCGACCTCCTCTGTCTGGTTGTCGTGCGCTGAGCGTAGCAGTAAGATACGGAAGGCGAAAAGAGAACCGAGATGTTGGTCTTTTTGTATAGCTCATTGGTAATCCGCCAGAACCACCGGTGATTTCTGTGTCAAGCTGCCCAGTGGTCATTCTGATCGTTGCTTTCTGCGTTAGCGCACAGCAAGTCTACATCGAAGCGGATCGACAACTGCTCTTATTCCACAGAGGTGATCACAGCAATCATGTCTGACACCTAACCGCGTACTGTATCCTGTAGATTCGAGTACTGACAACGCGTCAGCAATTTTAGCTAAGCTCATTCTATCCGTGGAGTGATGGTCTCGATCTCGCAACGTGTCAGTCGCTGTTAATCGGTCAACGCTCGTGACAACTAGCACTCGACAAGTACCCACACCATCCCTGAAATCCGAGTTCGTGCATGCTACAGCGGTCTAAGCGTCAATTAAGATATTCCGTACCTATTATTTGCATTAAACGCGGTAGGAACGCTAGCTCAGTATGGCTTATCTATGGATAGGATCCATTCTCACTTTGTGTACAGCCTGTCCTGATCTCTGGCAGATGTGTTGAAAAGTATCTGTATTACCAATGCGCGCCGTGTCTATCCTTGAATAGAAGAAAAAGAGTTGTTTGCTTGGTCATCCTAGTTCGCAGTGCCAATGATGCTAGCGGATCAGTTTTAAGTGTAGTTGGGCGCTGGAGTGCTGTTACTATCGCCACTCATTAGCTATTACGCGTAGTAGCCCAGATCTGGGACATGACGCTAATCATACTTCAGTCACTGTAAGACCACAGGGCAGTCTAATACATCGAGTGAGGGCTAGTTATCATGATTATTCTAGGCTTGGTCTATGTGACGGCTGAGGCGCATAGCGCGGCATCGCTATGAGATCTCGTAAATGAACTCCTAGCCAACGATTCGCAGTGGTTGCACGCTGAAGACCAGGTCAAGCCCAGCCACCGCCGTGCTTGGTTCAGCCTTGCTTGATACTAAATTCCTCCGATTGATACTTCTATCGATAGCCTACTTCCTAGCAAGTTCCCACACAAATAAGGGTTCTCTATGATATTTTGATATTCAACTCGAGGACATCCGGGCTGACCGGGGAGCAGCCCAAGCCGGTTGGAGCTAGGCGTACTGGCTTTCAATACACAGATCCCAAGATGCTTATTGATGCCAGCCTGATCTTCTTGTTTGTTATCAAGGGCAGCTTTAATGGAATGTAATTTCTTGGGGACCACTCGAAATGCGCATCAGCAAGCCGATTGTACGTCTAGTGAGCCAAAGCAAACGGAATGTCATGTTTGATTTGTCAACCTAACGGTGGCGAATCTGGTTTTACCCAGTCATGCGGTTTTAAGTTTTGTAAGACCAGCCTCTATCTTTCATGACCATCAGGCCTACACCATCGTTTTCTAATAATACCACAAGAATCTCAAAAAGCTATGTTATGTTTCTTCGTTCTCATCTTGCATCACTTTTTGCCATAGAAGCTCATACTCAGCTTTTTGCTCTTACAGACAACTATGCACCGGTTTTCCTATGTCTTCAAACCTTCTCTCGAATATTATCTCTCTCGCTAATGCTTTCTATCCCTATATCTTTTCTAGTCTTGATATAAATATATCCATCCCTGAACGGAGTCCATTTCTCAATCTCCTCGACAAGGGCTGGAGGGAGAAGGTCATCACTGGAAGGAACCACTCCTTGTACGGGTCCGTAGAATGGAAGCATCTCGTCGCAGCTCGCCATGGTGGATTGTTGAGGTTCAAGAAGGAATACTAGTATTGGGGCGTGATTTTGTGCTCCCACCGCACTGTACGACGCAATTTCACAGGTTGAACTTCAATCTTGGTTGCCGAACGTTTTCACCTATTAATAGCGCATTTCACCGTGAAAAACGTGAGGTCTGATCGTATTTCACCGGTAATCACAAAAGCTACCAGTAACCGGCAGTTAACAGAACGAGCCGAATAAATAAGAGACCTAGCATTGGTCCGATTTTTCCCCGACCGCCTCAATAGCCGGCTAGACTACAATGTCATGTAGCTACTCATGAATACCTTGGCACCGTAGCCAAGGTTTGGGGCTTGGGCCCATCTCTCGAAGTAAAGATCGTCAGAAATGTAACGGTGGCACTGAATACAAGCCAGTTGAGCTGTTTTGCGTACGTCAGCCCGAAGAAGAAATCTCGAGCCTCCAAGTCCGGCACCACGAAGGCCACTCGAGAAGCTGGTCACCGAAAGAGAAGTTGAATGTTGCGAGATATGGCATAGCGTGAAACCAATGGTACCACCTGCCCGATTATGAAGCCTTTGCTGTTTTTCCTTTCAAGCTGTGTGTTTGGCCCTGCCTTTTCGTTCCAGCTCCAGCCATCCGTCGGTGTTGGCGTGACGAGAAATCACGGGGCTAGAAGAACGATTTTGAAAACAACCCAGAACGATGCTTCTTTGGAAGATGTGTTGGTGTCCGAGACTGCGAGCCAAAGCACCACCAGCAATGGCATAACCGCCACACTTTTTCCAGCCACAAGAGCAACTCCTTCGTCGTCTCAACGTCCATTGTCGAATCGGCAACAGCTGGACGAGCAATATCCACAATTTCCTCGCACATGGGTTCCAATCGCATCCACTTTGGAACTGGATCACAGTCGTCCCAATCGACTAGAATTTTTGGATCAATCGTACGTGGCCTATCGAAATCCTCAAAGTAATAATCAACAATGGGTTGTCATGGACAACACGTGTCCGCATAGATTGGCGCCATTATCGGAAGGACGAGTCGAACCCGAAACGGGGCGATTGCAGTGTTCCTATCATGGCTGGACGTTTGAAGCCGATGGATCTTGTCAACGCATTCCTCAAGTGGTACCCTCTGTGGAACAATCCGCAATGGCCAATCCTAGATCGTGTTTTCCATCCTACAGTACGATGCTGGATGCGCGGACGGGAGTGTTATGGGTTTGGCCCTGGCAACAAGATCCCCTCGAGTTTGTCGGTGATGAATGGAGACATCCCGAAGGATTCATGGAGGGACTGATTCTGGATCCATCCATCCAAAATGCCACGGAAGCGGGTATCATGACATATACGCGAGATCAGCCCTACGGATGGGATACTTTGGTGGAAAACTTGATTGATCCAGCTCATATCCCATTTGCCCACCATGGGATGCAAGGAAGTCGTAGTGATGCCATTCCCATCAACATGACAAGTGCCACAAATCTAGGAGAAGCTGGATTTGCATTTGAATGGCAAGACCGAACAATGGGAATGATGCGTACGGGCGAAGGAAAATTCCGGGCACCCTTTTTGGTCAATTACAATGCTACATTTGCGTCGCCCACTGGCGAAGCAAAACCCTTTCGTTTATCGGCTCTGTGCATCCCCACCCGCCCCGGATGGTCGCGTGTCATGGTCTTTTCCATTCCCACCACAAGCGCTGCCGCCAAAGACAACACATCGACCAACAACCGAATCAAAACATTCAAGCTGGGTCCAATCATGGCCCAACTCTTCAAGCGATTGCCTACTTGGGGGAGCCATTTGTTGTCCAACAAGTTCTTTGATTCCGATTTGGCATTTCTTCATTACCAGGAACAATTGAGATTTGATGATGAAAGCGCCAACAGCAATCTACAACGCGGTGACGCCCGCTATTTCATGCCTGCCGAGTGTGACCGGAGCATTGTGGCATTGCATGGATGGATTGGGAACTATGCGTCATCCTATGTCAAACGTCAATCGACAAAATTGCCACCTGCCATTTACGACCGCAGCATACTGTTTGATCACTTTGATCAACACACGTCCAAGTGCAAAATTTGTTCCACGGCACTGGACAAACTCCAACGGAGAAAACGAAACAGTCAAATCGTCTTGGCGGCATCGATTTTGTTGGGACTCCGGTTTTGGCCCATGCGGCTGCTGGCAGTGGCCAGTTTGGGGACTTGGAGATTTTGGAGTCAGATCGAAGGCAAATTCTATAAAGGAGAATTCAAGCACCACCAGAATCATTAGACACCACATGCATGCCATCCCCAGGAGCAACTGGCTCAATTCTAAATGACTACGGGAGCTCTGGAAGCCTTCGCCGAGACTAGCTAGGTAGAGAAAATGCACACAGCGCGAAGCCATCGCAATTTCCAGCCACACCGTCCGCGAGGCAAAAAGGAGACTAGCCTGTCAATGATTTGGCTTCTAATTAGTAGTAGCGAGAGTATCTGAGCAGTTCAGCCATAGGAGGCAAACATGCCCAAACGAAAGGACTCAACTTACCAAAGTAAAATGTCGCACAAAGCTGGTATGTCGTCCATATGACCATGACCGTATAAAAAGTATTCAATTCTGTCTCCAGTCTCAAGAACAATCCTTCATACCTTGCAAGAGAATAAACTGCTACAGCGTAGTTAGCCATTGGATCCACTGCGTCTCTGATCTGCTCCTTGGCCGCTACTACCGGTAGCTACTAGTAGCTAGAGCCACTGAACTTGGGGTGCACCTCGAGGGTCCGCACCTCCGTAGTGGGATCTGCACCTCTACCGGTAGGGGTGCACCTCGGGGGCAAAAAGATCTGCACCTCTACCTAGTGCACGCACCTTGGGGGCAAAAGATCTGCACCTCTAGCTAGCTAGGGTACTGTACCGTATGCACCTCAGGGCAAAAAGATCTGCACCTCTAGTGAATGCACCTCAGTGGCAAAAATCTGCACCTCTCTAGCTAGGGCATGCACCTCGGGGGCAGAGAATCTGCACCTCTAGTAGGGTGTACACCGCGGTTGCAAAAAAGTTAGCTAGGGCACACCACGTTCCAGACTGTCAAACCAAGAGCTACTGCAAATACCGGTAGGAGCTAGCTAGCCAAAGAGATAAGCGTGTTAGCTCGCTAGCTAGCTATTCACGACGACAAGGGCCTTTGCAGACGGCTGTCCCCAATAAAATGTCTTTTATCCCATGGTCCTGGGCTTCTTAGCCTTCAACTTGCACTTGATATTAGCCTTTCTCTTCCCCTTGGATTCCTCTTCCTGGGCAAGACCAGCCACCCGGACAAAAATGTCGGGATAGTTTCGAATCCAGGAATAAACCAGAGAGTGTTTATCGATATTCTTGGTCAAGGAGGATAACCAGAATGCTTCAATGCTTGCACCACCGGGACACAACCTGGGCTCCAGCAGATATTGGCGGCCTGCCTTGTTAAGTGCAATAGAGTGGGTCACCTTTTTCTTGCACATCTCCACAAACTCAGTTTCCCCCGCGGCTCTCACACTATACTTATCCACAATGGAAGCATCTGTCAAGTAGTGATTCTCGTCAATTGCCTGTGTGATGATTTGCAAACTGCCATTGTCCAATTCATGAAATCCCACTGCCTCAAGCTTTTTTTGTCGCAACAGCTTGTCCAAACATTGTAGCAGTCTCCTTGTCCAACCCTTTGTCCGTAAATCTAAACACTATGAGCGGTGCTTTGGGCCAGAGCCTGCGCAATGCGGCGTTTGTCATCCACGGTGAAAATACAGTGAATAATGGTAAACCGAGCGCCAGTGTGCCTTGTTCCTATGAGACGAGCGCAGAGATCATCCACATTATGGAAATATGACAACACTGAAACGTGACACTCTTGATGGTTGATGATTCTGTCCATGCCTCCATAAAACTGCAGAATCCGGTGACCGATGCACTTGGAGCGTCCCTCATTCGTGCATGGGACTTAAATCTGCCGCCAAAATAGGGGTGGTTTGTGGGTGGTGGTTTAGGAGAACCCGCCCCTAAATCCGACAGAGCATAGGGGTGGTTTCCAAACCCGCCCAAAAATACCGAAAACGCCCCTATTTTAGGGGCAGTTTCGCGAAACCGCCCCTAAAAAATAGGGGCAGGTTTGAAACCCGCCCCTAAAATAGGGGCGTTTTCAATGTACATGTATTTTCAATTCAGTCCCGTTTACAATTAGGGGCAGTTTCCTAACCCGCCCCTAAATACCAAAAACGCCCCTAATTTAGGGGCTGATTCGAGAATCCGCCCTTAAATAATAGGGGCGGGTTTGAAAAACCTGCCCCTAGTGGGAATCTGCCCCTAAAATCCGCCCCTAAAATAGGGGCGGATTAGATTTAAGACTACCCACGATTGAGGAACGCTCCTGAAGCCAACAATATCCAGCGATTGACTGGAATGAACACCTTGCCACAAGGCTTGAAGTTGGTGATTGTGAGGATCGTGCACAAGCAGTCCCAATACGCAGGTGCTGGCCTGCAAAATAAATGTTTCCCAATATTTGAATCTGATCTGGTGGTTGTGAAGCACTCGAAAAGAACAGGTGGAACTTTTGAATAGTGTTGTTGACACGGAGCGCCGCGGCCAAGAGTTCGAATTCCTCATTGTTGAAATGGTCCAAAAGGAGTGTGATGTTTGTGGTCCCCCTGTCATTTTGCTGAATCCGTTCACAATTGGGCTGGAAAAAGGAATCTTTTTTTTTAAGAATAAAGTCATGGTGATGTCCTACCGGTAGAGGGGGGGGGCAAGGGGGTAGTAGTGATTTCCTGATTGGGTGGTTGAGTGGAATGTTTGTCTGCTTTGGGTGCAGATTGGAGATGTGTGTAACCTTAGGGCATTCTCTAATAAATTCGTCCGTCCTAAAACTCGTTCTAAGTCTATTTTAGAACGAATTTTTAGGACAAAAGCAATCTTTAACTCAAATTCGTCCTAATTTTAGGACGAATTTTAGGACGAACTGAAAATTTGCGTCCTATTTTTCAAAAATACGACGAAAAAACAAACTCGTTCTAAAGACTCGTCCTAAAAAATCCTTTAAATCCTTGAGTCTCCTGATGACATCATCGAGTTCACAAGATTGAGTTAACAAGATTGAGTCAGTCGCACCCCTGCATGCCACATCATGCACCGCACCGGTGGTACCGGTGGTACCGGTACCATGCTCGCACCCCCACTACCGGTAGCTACCGTACGTACTAGCAAACTCCAACATCAACATCAGAGGTGCTTCGTGGGAAGCTCCTAGCCACACTATCAGGACCATGTTAATAGGCCGATAGAGGAGAGGTGCATGCAGAACGAGTTTTAAGACCAGCTTTTTAGAGATTGAAACTCGTCCGTCCTAAAACTCGTTGTATCTAAGTCCAGTTTTGGAGCGAATTTTTTAGAGATTGCAAATTCGTCCTAAGAATAGGACAAGTTTTTAGGACGAGCAGTTAGGACGAGAAAATAGGACGAGAATGAGTAGAGAATGCCCTTACCGGTACCGGTACTAGTATGCCTGAAGACTGTGTTGTGGTGTGGTGTTCTGGTCAAGATCCAAGATCGTTACCGTAAAACGAACTTCATCAGAATCGATTTCGATTTCGATTCGATTCGATTCGATTCGATTCAATCCGCACTGCACCACCCACAGCCACACACTCATCACACATCCAAGCCCAAAACAAAGACGAGAGCGGCCGTGAAGAGCATCGTAACCGCCATTGTCGAGAGTGATGACCTTGCATGAGTATGGTATATAAGAGCAGCCATGACTTTCTAGTAGGGTAGGTGGCTGGCTAGATCAGGCACCGTGAAAGATGAAGGCGTCTCGACAGGACGTCTCTCCGTCGCTTCCCAAAGTGCCCATTGCTCGCTTGGTAGGCCACGATGGTCCTATCCAACAGGTTCAATTTGCCGGTGAGTCCACTTCAGATGACAGTGACTATCTGATACGGTAGGAACGATCTTGACTTGTCTTGTCTCGTGTGTGTTACAGCTATTGTATGCATGGAGCCCATTGATGACACGTACCTCGCGCTTGGACAGAAAGAGACACTCTTGACGACAACCGACGTACAATATTCCTTCACTTTGACCTGAGGGCCCCCATTCG